ACATTTTTTAAAAATTCTGGAAACGGGTATACAGTGTAAATGTAAAGACATGTATACATGATTTTAGAAGCATTTTCCTTTTCTTGGTTTCTGTTTACTACAATATTGGATTTATTTAAGTGTGTTCCATTAACTTCCCTTCATCACAAAGGGAATTTGCAACATCTTGGCCATGATCACTAGAAAACACAATGTTCACAAAAGGGGCTGTTTCTTCACCCAAGACCAAGGGGCTATAAGAGGCTGATTATTATGTGGTATCTGGTTGTACTTACAGTGAGAGTATCTCCACCTGGTGCAGCCCAGAAGGCAAGCCTACAAATTCAGAAGAAGTTACTGAGAAAGGGATAGGACCCACAGCTTCCACTCTATATCTAGGGGATCTAGATAATCCCACTGCCTAAAAACTTAACTGAAGTTTTCTATAAGTAAACATGCAGTAAACACACATACAAACAAAAGCTTTCCAACTGCTCCCACCCTATATGTAGAGCTTCCCATTGAACGAGAAATGGATCTGCTTCTAGGTTGCTGTTCACCTAAACCATAACCTTGCACCAGCTGATACATCTGAGAAACAGAGCAGTCTGGAATGGAGATCTGCAAGAGAACATCTGGTGAGACCAGCATGATTCCTAAAACCAGACATTTCCATATATTGTCACAGTCAGCCCAGAAAATGAGGGTTTGTGCAGAGAACTTGTTCTTTCAGTGAGCGATGCCATGAAGATAAAGGGTCAAGGACAGTTTGAATATTTTAGTCACAATTTTAACAGTACTCCTGTGGTAATTAATCATGCTGGATAGGAAGAGACTGCAGGCGTGCGGCCGGGCCAGCGAGTACGACTACGTCAGCTACCAGTCGGACCTGGGCCCGTACCCGGGCGGGCGCTTCTACGCCAAGCCCCACCAGTGCGTGGCCATCCCCGCCGACCTGCGGCTCTGCCACAGCGTGGGCTACGACAAGATGGTGCTGCCCAACCTGCTGGACCACGAGACCATGGCCGAAGTGAAGCACCAGGCGAGCAGCTGGGTGCCGCTGCTCAACAAGAACTGCCACATGGGCACCCAGGTCTTCCTCTGCTCCCTCTTTGCCCCTGTCTGCCTGGACCGGCCTGTCTACCCGTGCCGCTGGCTCTGCGAGGCCGTGCGTGACTCCTGCGAGCCCGTCATGCAGTTCTTCGGATTCTTCTGGCCCGAGATGCTTAAGTGTGACCAGTTTCCCCAGGACGACGTCTGCATTGCCATGACGACTCCCAATGCCACCGAGGTCTCCCGGCCCAAAGGTAAGGCATGACCAGTGCCGTGGCTCTGCTCCTGGTGCTTTTCTGTGGGCTGAGGGGGCAGGCATTAGCCCAGGAGGGGCCATGTGGGGCTGAAGGGAAGATGTGGCAGGAGGAGGCTCACCTGAACTCTGCTGCTTGGCACCACTCTTTCAGCCTCTGAGTGCTCTGCCAGCGCTACTGTCCCGAGGAAGGCAGGACACCTTGCCAGTTCCTCGCCCCTATCCCGGAGCTGAGCCCGGGAGCGGATGGTGAGGGACCGCAGCAGCCACTCCGATGCCCGCACAGGCACCAGGGCTGGGCTCCAGCCCATGGTGGACCAGGGCTCTGACCCTCTGTCCTGCCGCTGCTGCAGCGCCCTGGCAGCAGTCCCTCTCGCAGCCCAGCTCTGCGGGGCTGTTCTTGGCAGCAGTGGGACGTGTGGTGCCCCACGGCAGAAAGCGCTGCCTGACCGGAGCAGATGGTGACAGCAGTGGTGGGAGGGGACCCCCCACCAGGCAGCGCTGGGGGGGAGGCTGGGTGGCCGGTGGCTGCCTGTGCAGTGGAGATCCAGCCCTGTCGTCTCAGGTGGACTGCGTGCTGGCGAGGGCGCAAGAGACTGACCAAGGAATGACTGGGGAAAGTGGAGGTGGTTCTTGTTCGTTCCTGTGAAGTGCAGCAGGTCTGCTTAGTGCTCGACTGGCTTGTTTGTGTGAGTTGTAATGAGTCTGGCTTGTTCCTGAAAACTTTTAAAACAAATAAATACCCTGTTGTCGCTTTGGCATTCTGCATTAGGGCGCTTTGAAAGGCTTGCAGGAGGGGTGTTTGCGGAGGGCTGTAAAAGAGTGCAGTGCTTTCCTGCGTCCGGGGCTTTGCTGAAAGGGATGGGCACTTTCACGAGGGGATAGTGCAGGCACTGGGGAGGAGCTGAGGGACGGGGGCTGTGTGATCGCTGTGGCTTCTGCGCAGTGTGCGCAGCTCATCTGGAGGGAAGGTTGCACTTCACAGCAGCCGCTTGCATGCCGTTACCTTCACAGACAAAGGTTTTACGTCGCGCTCGGCTGGAGCCCTTGCTTGATGCCTGCTGGAGCTGTATGGGGAAACCCTGTCATGTCTTGGCAGTGGCATCCAGAGGCGGGTGAGGGGTGAAGTGTGTACCCACGCAGGGGGGTGAGGTTTGGCTGCTCGTGGGGACGTAGCCTCTCCCTGTGTGGTGCCGATGGGGGTTTGCTTGCTCGTGGGGACGTAGCCTCTCCCTGTGTGGTGCCGATGGCAGCACAGCCACGCTGGCTTCTTTGTCATGGCTTGTGCTTACTGATGCAGTTGGTGGAGGAAGCTTTTTATTTGCCAGGAAGGCTTTAAAATCATCCGTCCTGTGTGAACCTAGACCCTTGGTCAAGACTGCAGTCGTGTCCTGTGTTACAGGTACAAAGGTTGCTTTTATTCCTCGGGGACTTGCAGTCAAGCATGCTCCTGCAGCAGCTGGGTCTGAGCTGCTTGCTGTAGAGCTGCCCCTTCCCAGGTCTGAAACGGAGTTTGAGCTGTTGCAGGTCATTCATTGTAGAGACATTAGTGACCCAAGACCTGGGAACGACAGCTTTCTGATGGCCTTTCAGACCTGTCTTGACAGAGCGTTGGTGCTTTCTTTTGGTGCTGCTAATGTGCCCATCAGCACAGCATTTGGGCACCATGCTGTTGTTCACAGGCATTGCTGAAGTGACTTTATTACAAGAAATTACATTGGCTCACGTTTGAGTCCTTTGTGGATCTGTTTTGGGTCCTGTTTGGTGTGCAGAGAGGCTTCATTCTGCACAAGCTTTAGGGTGTGTTAGAGTGAACTGTAAATCAGAGCTGGGTGCATATTGCAAGGAAGTATTGCAGCCACTCAGATGAACCACTGTCTGCTAAGTGGCTCTGCAAAACTTGTGTCCCAAGCACTTCTAAATGAGCAACTTGTTCGCAAGGATGTTTACAGAAAGTAAGTCTTTAAGATTGCCATGCAAATGTGAACTCTCTTCAGCATTCAGTGGAAAAGCATGAGCAGCCATCTTCGCATCCCCTGGCTGCTGGAAAGTATTTCAGGAGAAACACTTGCACATGTAGCTGAGCCCCAGCAGCCTCAGAGGTGTCAGGCCAAGCTCCCTGTGCCTGTCGCACCGGCTGCGGCACTTCTCTGTGAAGGGACAAGCCGTCTTGCTAGAAGATGCTTCTTCAAGGTGAGAAGGCTGGGGCCCTCGGTAACCTGCTGGGCTGGACCTGCGGCCCTTTGGCGTGCCAGCTTTCACGGTGTTAACTCTGTTTGCAGCAGAGGGATTTGGCGTGTGTTCTCCCATGAGTAGCCTTTGGTTGGCGAAGCTCTGTGTGCTGCACATGCTGTGTGCTGGGACACTTGCCCCAAGCAGCTCAGAGTGAACAGAGGGAACTTGAAGCTCACTGCGACCACGGCTGTAACCCACACAGCCGGGTCTCCTGCGCTCTGCAGGTCTGCGCGTGGCCGGCGGTGATGGCAAGGCTGGCCTTGGCGATGCGCCCGCGCAGGCAACGGTGCCTCCGGGTGACCGCACTTGTGCCGTCACGGTTCACCCCTCATCCCTGTGCGTGCCGGGTCCTTCCCTCTGGCCGGGGCTCTGCCGTGGGAGACCCTGTCCCCAGTTCCTGTGCATTTGCCGTGGGTGACGGCTCCTGGAGCCCCTTTGGTCTCGGGCACTGGGATGTGTTTCCTCGTGATTCAAAGAGTCAGCACCCAGCAGTGTCCCCCCATTTCTCTGTGCGGTAATAAGAACAGGCCTTTTCAGTACTTTTCCCTGTTAACACCTCGAAACTGGAATTTGTTTCTGCCTCTCAAAGAGCTGACCTGCTGAATTCCTTTCTCCTTAAGCACGAGGCAGCAAAGCCTGCAGGCCCGCAGGATGCGTCAGGGGAGTTGCAGATTAATATAGCATTACACATTCCTTCTCCTACCCCTGGAGTAAGCTGGCTCTAAAGCCAGGCGTTAGAAAATGGTCAGCAGGGAAAAAGTGAGCTGGAAGTAGGCTGAGGTTGTGCTTGGAGTAGAGCTGTCAGCGGCCGAAGACGGGCCCCAGCTGAACTGCGGCAGGCGAGGAGGCAGTTGGCTGTGCCCGGGGCCGTGAGCTGTACTGGCATGGCTGCCCCCTGGGCGCGGGGGCACTGGGCCCCCATCGTGGTGCTGGCTTGGCTGCCTCTGGACTGTGGCGGTGGGGATGAGGACATGCATCCTGGCTGGGCTGTGTGTTGGCTGCTTCAGCCTGGGGTTGTGTAGGAAGAGCAAGGCGAGGTGCTGGGCAGCGCTGTGGGCTGCGGGACGTTGACCATGGTGCCTCAGGAGCAGGGGGGGCAGGCAGTTTTGGGGCAACTGTGGCTCCTTGGACCAGCAGAGCTGTGCAGGAGCTGGTCAGGCCCCTGGCATTTGTGTCCTGACCTCGGCGTGGTGTGTGTCCCGTAGGAGAGGAGCGGGGTGGCTGCTGGCACTAGGCCCTCGCTGCAGTGAGGAGGGGGTCCCTGCCGTCCTGGGTGTGCCGGCGTGTTCCCAGGGGCTGCCACAGCACAGCTGAAACAAAGCCTGTGTTTTCGTCAGGGAACAATGAGTCTTATTTTCCATTTTTGGGTTTTCTTAATTTGGTTGCCTGGAAAGCTCGTAGGGTGGACGCGGCGGTGGCTTTCACGTTGTTTGCTGGGCCCATGTAGGCTTTCCCAGTCTCCTAGCATGCACGCTGGCTGCTGAGGCACGGCAGAGTGCGTTGCGTGCTGGGCTGTGTGGAGATGAGCTGATGCATGGCAGGTACCCCCTCCCATTCCCGAGGGTGGTGCCCAGCACTGTAGCTAACTCTTGGCACTGCAGCAGAGACAGAGTGCTGGGGCTGCCGCCCTCCCACAAGCATCCCTTTTCCCTCAGCACGAGCTCATTAAGTGTGCAGCGTGGATGGAAATATTCTGGCTGCTGATTTTAAAAATAAAGTGCTGGGGACGTCATCATGTCCCCAAAGGCTGGCTTCTGTCTCTGTCACTCTAAGTTAGGACGGTAATAGTGGCGATTGCACATTAGGGTTTTGGAGGGTGATGGGCGGCTCTCGCAGGTACGGGGGTACCGGGAGCGGGTCAGCTCTTGGATGCCGCGCCGGTTGCCTTGTGACCGGACATT